TCATCAAACACACGCCCACCCCCCTCACTTCCCCAATTCCTCTCTCTCTCTCTCTAAACCCTAACCTCTCAAATCCCTCCTCTCTTCTTCTTCTTCTTCACTCCTCCTACTTCCCCCATCTCCATTCCTCTCACTCTCTCTTCCATCAAGGTATGTCACCCCCCCCCCTACTTTTTCTTTTGTATTTTATTTTAGTTTGTATGTTAGATCATGTTTTTAATTGTGTAGTATTTCTAGTAGATTTTTTGTACTTCTTTTTTCTTTTCTTTTGAATTTCGTTTTTGTGGTGGCTTGTTAAGGGGTTATGTGTATAATGTGGCGGAGAGGTGTATGTTTGTGGGTGTTGAACTAATTGTTAGGGGGTGTAATGGTGTAGTACAACTTGTGATTTGGGGGAAGCATTGATGCATCCATATGGGCTATATGTGTTAGGAAGTGTCTTTCCCACAAGGTGTTTGGGGAATTGCCCCAATGGAGTTATAAGGGCTCATATGACCATGGTTGTGGTGAAGTCTGAGTAACCACCCATAGTTCACACAACTCACACCCTCACTGATAGGCGATTCTCTATTTGACAGGTAAAATACATTCATCTAGGAAGAGACACAACACAGGGTCCTCCGCTAGTGGACCGGGCAGCTCCTCAAGAGCTAGGGGTCAAGCTAGTGCGGCTTCGACCGCACTAGGTTTGTCTCCAAATCGGCGGAGGACAGGTACAATGCAAAGGCGTCAAAGAAATTGTTACATGAGGTGCATATTGACCGGGAAGCCTTAGAAGTGGAGTGCCCGAATATCTTTGCTGAGTTGAGGAGGTGTCAGCTGGACATCTTCTTTGAGGAACCAGAGGAGGCGAACGTACAGGTAGTGAGGGAATTTTATGCTAACTGCCCGGAACACGAGAATGGGATCGTCACAGTACGCAATACCCGGGTAAATACATCCCTTGAGGCCATATGCAGGGTGTACCGGATGCCAGTGTTCATGGGGGAATCCGAATTATCGTACTTATCGTCGATCAAGTGCTTTGTGGGCAACTCTTCTTGAGACAATATGTGTGCCAGACAGAGAATACATATGGATAAAGCACGGGATCGCACTTAACTCCTAGTCTCTCAATTGGGAGGCTAAGTGTTGGCTCACAATCATCAACAGTCGGCTGTTGCCCTCCAGCAATACTACCGATGTCAATCAACCACGGGCAGCAGCTATCTACTGTTTCATGACCACCAGGATTTTGATGTTTCCCAACTCATTCATGATGAGATGTTCATCCGCTCACTTGAGTTACTCAAAGGTTTTTACTTCCCTTCTCTGGTCACCAAGTTGTGTCGTGCTTCTAGAATCATTAAAAACCTCAGAGTTTATGGGAAATTGCCATTGAAAGCCCCGCTCCGGGCGAGCAAAATCACAACTGGGAAACAGCCGGTGGTGATAGTTGAGGATGATGATGAATCTAATGATGATGCTGAGGAAGTTGTTGTCCCACCACCTACGAGAGTTGAGGAGGCGGGCCCATCATAGCCCCGCCGAAGTACCCGCCTGACAGCCCTGAAGCAAGAAATGGCTGGTCTCCGCACTTCTGTCACGGACATGGGCACCAGATTTGACACTATGGCCACTCAACAGGCCAAGTCGGAGAAAAAGAGTATGGGATGGCTTCGAGAACTAGGACAAGCATGTCACCTCGATCCTAGCAACGTCTCTGATCAGGATTGAGCTTCAGGGAAGTCCCCTTACCCTACTCTGCTTTCTATTTGTTGACATGGGGACATGCCAAATTTTTATGTGTGGGGTGGGGGATGGCGGTTGTTGTAAAAAGATTGTATAACTGTGTATCATATTGCTTTCTTTCTTTTTGATTGTTTGGTATCGTAGGGTCATGTAGTTAACTTCGACTGGGCACGAAGATGGCACCTTTCGACAGGTTTCTTGAGGGACATTAGTCGAACAACAACAACAACAAAAAAAAGAGAATGTAAGGACTCTTCCTGATGACGGATATTTGAGACAGCTTCTTGAGGGAAGTTAGTCTAGAGAAAATACCAAAAAAAAAAGATTTTTTATTTTAGGTAGTGTAGTAACTCCCCCTTGGTTTTTCTTTGGGCCACGGTTCTTTTCCAAGGGTTTAGCTTGAACCGGGTGTAGGTAGTTTTTGTTATTTTGTTTTTTTTTACTTTTTAGTTAGTATTGATGGGCTACGAGCTGAAATAGAAAGAGAAACCCTTGGCGTTAATACACCCCTGAACACAGTCGACACTAGAGTGTAGGGCCTAGTCTCAGTGGTTGATTCTTGCTAAAATGCCTTAAATTTGTATGTTTGTAACTGACTTGAACACTCAAAAGAGAGTGTCTTGATTAACCAATCTGGAGTGAGTCATGTGCCATGTGTGTGTGAGTTGACTGTATTCTATGCTTTACATTTGATCCCTAGAACTTGCCCTGTGTGTTTGCAAAGCGAAATAGTAGCTTCATTCAGTTTTAGAAGTGATATAGGCATTTCTTTGTTAAGCCAGATGTATAAGTAAACCCACCTGAATGTAATACATCGTAGTTAACCCCGTTGAGCCTATAGCCTATTTCTTTGGCAATCACATTGCGAACCTTACCCAATTGTTTGAATAGCCATCTGTTTGAACACCTTTTACCTCCCTAAAGCACTTGAATGACCTTGACATATGCAAAAGTTGAAGTGTTGAGTGGTGGTTTGGTTTTTGAGTGGAGCCAATGAAATAGAGGAAAGGTGTAGTTTTGGAAGAGTAAAAGAAGAAGTGCCACGTAAAAAAAATGAATAAATGTAGTAGTTTATAAGTGGTAGCTTGATACAAATGCACCTAAAGGAATAACATGTCATAAATAAAATGGGTGGAACGTCTGGTTGACATAAGAATGAATTGGAAGGTTAATGTGATTGTGTTAAAAGTGCTTAGGGAGGTTACTTACTATATCCAGATATATCCTACCCATCCCTTAGCCTACATTACAACCAAGTGAAGTCATAATTGATCTTAGACTAAATAGGCTCGATTAGTAGAGTAGTACACTACGGGCAAGCCTATGGTGCATCTTTATGGCATGTGAATGTTCTTTTGAGAGTAAGCGAATTTTGTCCATCTGAGTTCCTAATTGTTCGTAATAATATTAATTGTGGAACTACTCTCTTGTGTGATGTGAGGGCATGTGATTCACGAAGGAAAGGTAAGTCTTGACTTCTGTATAGAGTAGTTTGAGTAAGTGCGAATATTGCATGGAATGAAAGACTCGACTTTTGAGGCAAAGGTTGTTTCACTACTAGGTACAACTTTGGTGAATTGTTCATGGTGTGATTCGTTAAGGGGAAAGCTTAGGGAAGGAACTTTGATAGAGTGTGGTGTATTGATCGAGGATTAGCAATGATTTAAGTGTGGGATGTTGATAATAGGCTACATAGACGATATTTACACCCTAATTATACCATGCTTTATTGTGTTTTATAGGCTGAATGATAACAAAATGCTCTAATTGGTGTTCTTTTGCTTCGCAAGGACTAATCCAAGTGAGAAAGAGCTATGGAGTGTTTTGGAGTCAATAATGTGAAGAAAACATCTAAGCAAGAAGCACCCGTGCGGAAAGAAGCAAAAAGGGGATTGCAGAAAATGCAGGCAGAATGTTATGCTCTCACCGCGGTCGTGCCGCGGTCGCACCACGGCCGCGGTGAACTGTGCAATTGCCTAGACTTTTGGGACCAAAGTGTAACTCAGGGAAAATTTGTTCCGAACCCTTATAAACTCAAGAAGCTCGCCCAAGAAAGTTTTAAGCTTGTTTTTAGACTACTTTGGAGGCAATAACAAGTGTGAGAAGATCAACCAAACATTAGAGTATTTCTATCTCCTTTTATTTCTTGCAATTACACATTATGAACAACTTTGTAGTTTTATCGTGTTTTTTTATGAGTAGCTAAACAATTGATCTAGGGTTGATGGAACCAATTATTGGATGAAGTTTTGACTCAACTTGTTATAATCGAGCTGGATTTATTATATGATTGTTCAACTACGTTTTGTATGGTGATTAATTGAATGGGCCCTTGATTAATCGCGTCTAATTGCCTTATATTGCTTGAGAAAGAATATTAGGTTAGACTGCTATTGAACAACACCACTTTTGGGTAATTGAAGAGATTTATTACTTGAACTTATAAGTGGGGTTAGAGATAACGAAACTTTGGTGGGATAATTCAGAGCTGCACATATTGTCAGTTAGAGTAGTTCGAGAGAATGCTCTAGTAAATTATTGTAGTTGATCGAGAGATAATTACGATAACCCATAGCTCATAATTCTCATAGAGTATTACGGCGAGATTATAGCAAAGGAGTTAAGACCTAAACTAGCAATTGGGGAAATCAATGCCCTAGACCTTTTTACCGTTGAATTATCTTTGATTTAGCATATTGTCAATTTTAATATCATTTGAAGTAGTTAAACAAAAACTCAACCTTTATTGATAAAAATCTTGCATCTGGAAATTGTTTGAGTTGATAATGGCATTGCCAAGAGTTGTAATAGATAGGTTAATTCCCTGAGGATTCGACTCCGGACTTAAAACCGAATTATATTTGCAGCGACCGCTTTGTCTTTTAGAAAGCATAGTTGGGCATGATCAACTTCGTACAG